ATCTACTCCACAGTAGCTTTTTTATACTATCAACGGAGATAGTCTATTCCTCCTTGGGTGGGGGGAAGCCTTTTGGGAAATGGCAAGAAAAATTAGATAAAGTCTCATGGAAATGCAGCACAGCATAAAATCTCACTGATGGCTTTAGAAAGACAATAAGGGGGGGAAAATGAAGAAATCTGCATGAATAAACATGGATAAAGTTGGTAAGTCATTCACTTATTTTTATTTTGAATTATCCATTATTTCTCCCTTTCTTCCTTTAGTCATGAGCCTTTCCTTCCCTTTCCTTTGCAATTACACCTCCAATAAAATACAGGTTATTAAATAAATGTTAGCTGCCTATGGATAAATGATTGTTCGGGCACTTTTATTTATGGAGAGAGATGAAAATAAGCAGCACTAAAACTTAATACATCTTAAATTAACCAAGTGACAACAAAAAAAGCAATCCCTTTCCCCACTGTTCCCACCCCAACCTTCAATTATTGCACAGACAATCTTATACTTATTCAGGTTAAAGGCTGAGATTTGGCTGCATATGAAGGTTTACCATGGCTTCCTGTAACTTAATTTCAATTTATTTTACTTTAATCACTTTAAATATGCCCTTATTTTCACTAGTATATCCTTAAAAGGTAGGGCTGTATCAATATTTAAATTGGACTCTTTGAAAACATTTTCATTCACTCAAATTAGCTTGTCAATTTGAATTAAAAGCTCTGATTTGAAACCATTCTTCACAATCATCAATTTGTATAGAACAAGATAGAGATGAAAAGGTCATTCAAAGGATTTTTTTGAAACAAAAACAAAAACAAATGCCATAATTCAAACACTGCAGTTCAAGAAACTTTAAAAGGATGGCTTAAAAAATAATGAAATAAGAACAATTATCTCCATCCACGCTTGCCGAAATAATTTAGTGGGGCTAATCCCAACACAAATAAGATGTTTTCATAAAAATTAAAGAAAGGAATTTAGCAGAGATTGGAATTATGAACTGGGCTGAATTTAGAAAACTCAAATACATAGTTCTATAGCTATTCCTGTAAAAAATCAAAATCCATTATACAAATATAAATATTTGTGTATTATGGTACCTTGAATTCATTTCAACAAATAGCAGCAGCATATTATACTTGTCTGCGCTGTGCCAATTAAAGATGAAGAAACTGTTTGGAAAAAAAGAAAAAGAGAAAGGGAGGGAGGGAGGGAGAGAGAGAAAGAGAGAGAGGAGACTGAAACCTCATTTATGTCACACTGACATGGTTGAATGCACTTGGATTCAAATCC